TTCCTTTTGTGGGCCTTGTCTAGTTGGATAGCCAAATAAAAGGTTCTGCCCACTCACATTCAAAAATCTATTCATTAATGGGATGCAATTCACACTACGTGCCACTAATTACCCTAGGAAAGCAGTAAAAATTAATAAGGAACTACAGTTTAATTGTTTGATAATGACAGGGAGTTCCAAAGCGTCCTCCTGAGTAACAAAATTAACATTTAAACTAGCTCAGTCGAAGAACCTTCCCTTAAATGTAACTCTTCACTATTAGTGTGGCTTATTTCTTTCTTTATTATGTCTTTGGGCAGCTCTGAAATATCAGAAATGTGTACTGAACCTTGAGAAGCTTCCCAATGTTCCAGGATAGTGAGTAGCCTGTCTGCAGAGTTTCAGGTGAACTGTGGATGGTCCCCACCATACACACACACACACACACACACACACACACACACACACACACAGTACAATCAGACTGTCCTATGTTTATTTAACCAGGGGTAGAGAAGCTTCTCAGAAATTAGTGCCTCTTCCTAAAGGGAGATGGGGGATGTGGGGAGCTGTCAAAACACTGCCCAGGGTAGGGTCCTAGAGAATCTCAGAAATGAAATGTTTGCTATGATGTCATTCTTTTTTTCTTTCGGCCGCGTGGCTGCGGGACCAGGGATCAAACCAGAGCCCTCAGCAGTGAGAGCGTGGAGTCTTAACCACTGGACCACCAGCAAATTCCCGGACGTCATTATTTTACACTGGAACATATACCGCTATTCCAGGGTACTCTCTGGACTTTTGTTGAAGGGAATGTGGTAGTTTTCAAATATGCCCATAAAAAGTGGAGTCTAATTTCCTTCCCCTTGAACATGAGGAGGATTTAGTGATTCTCTTCTAACGAATAAAATGTAGCAGAAGTGACGCTGTGTGACTTGAGAATTAGGCTCTAAAACGGATTCAGCTTCCACCTGGCTCTCCCTTGAGATGCTTGCCCTTGGAATCCAGCCACCATGTTGTGAGGAAGCCCAAGCACATGAAGAAGCCACACGTGGGTGTCTCGGCCCACAGACCCAGTGAGGTCCCCAGGCCAGCAACACCATCACCCACCAGATTCATAACTGAAGGAGACTTTAGATGATTCCAGCACCCAGCCTTCAACCCTCCTGCTCCCACACCTGAGGCCCCAGACCTGGAGCATCAGACACAGGTCATGCCCCCTGTATTCTGAATTCCTGACCGACAGAAACCATGAGACATAGTCAATGATATGCATTATTTTAAGCCACGACATTTGGAGATAAGCTGTTACACGGCAATCGATGACTCACAGAGAAAATTTTACAGACATGGGCCTCTTAGTTCTTGAACCAAAACCTTAAGGCCAGCAGGGACTGACTCACACAGGGCAGAGGGGAATGACGAGGGAGGGCTCAGCTGTGGCTGACCACAGCCCCAGCCCCCAGCCTTCCAACATGCTCATCACCTGCTAAATGACACACCCCAACAGAAGCTCTGTAGTCCTGAGCAACTTTAAGGTTGAAGGGTTTTCTTGTAATTCACAGAGATAGGACTAGGCACGGTTTATCTCCTGGGATACTTGCTTTCCCTGAAGAGCTAAGGATTGGCACTCATAATCCCTCAAAAGTGGCCTTCCAGAGAGTCCCATCATGTTGTGGCTCATTTCACACATGCTTGGGAGAGAGGAAAAGCCAACAGAGAAGGAACAGCTGTGCTCTGGGACCAGTCATGCCCACTCCCCCACCCTCGACCCAAACTCCATGCCCCATGTCCACTCTCTCATGCCAGCACTTCTATCTTCCCAGGCCAGGCCAGCTGTCTTCTTATGCATTCATTCATTCATTCATTCATTCAATACGTATCGGATGCCTACTGCATCAGGGGAGACAGACATTAAACAACAAATCATACAAACAAAGAATTCTACTTGTCCTAAGCACTTGCAGGGAGAAGTACAAGGTCCTCTGGGGAACTAGGGATATTTAAGTTGAGATCTGAAAAATTAGAGAATGAGTGAAGCAGACAGGGGTGCAGTGGGGGCCTAGGGAGATTGCATTCCAAACAAAAGGCCACTCTAGGGCTTCCCTGGTGGCTCAGAGGTTAAGAATCCGCCTGCCAATGCAGGGGACACGGGTTCGAGCACTGGCCCAGGAAGATCCTACATGCTGTGGAGCAACTAAGCCTGCACCACAACTACTGAGCCTGCGCTCTACAGCCCACGAGCCATAACTACTGAGCCTGCGTGCCACAACTACTGAAGCCCGCGTGCCTAGAGCCCGTGCTCCACAACAAGAGAAGCCAGTGCGATGAGAAGCCTGCACACCGCAACAAAGAGTAGACCCCGCTTGCTGCACCTAGAGAAAGCCCGCGCACAGCAACAAAGACCCAACACAGCCAAAAAAATTAATTAAATAAATAAATAAAGGCCACTCTATGGGAAGAAAGTGTGTGGTTTCTGGGGACTTAAAGAATGATCAGTCAGGATGCCGGTCAGAAGTGGAGGAAGCAAGACAGTGCCCCCAGAAGAGTCTGGGGATTGAGGGAGCAACCAGACCATGTGGGGCGATACAGAAAGATCTCATCTATATTCTAAGCACAACAGGCAACCACCGAAGTGTTTAAAGCAGGAGAATGACAGGGTCAAATTTCACCTGTTAAAGCATCTCGGTCCCCTAACCCCATTATTTCCCATTTGTGTGTACACCTCTGTACAACCCAGATCACATTATATTATAGGTAGTTGTTTAAGTATCTTTCTCCCCCACTGTGCTGATGGTCTCTTGAGAGCAGCGACCATGGCGTAACCATATTTGTAATTCCATTAGGCTCCCTACTGTTCTTGGGATCAAGTGCAAACTCCTTCTGCAGCCTGCAAGGCCTTGCACCTTCTGTCCCTCGCCCACCTCCCCAGGATCATCTTAGTCACTTCCTTTGCTCTCCAGTCATTCATCATGGTCCAGCCACTCCGGCAGACGTGTCACTTCCTCAAAGGCCTTCCAAGATGCCCTAGCTAGGATAGGGTCCCTGCTAAATATTCTCAGAGAAACCAATGCTTCTCCATCAGACTACCTACCAGGATTTACATCACCACTCATACACATTATTGCTTTGAGACTTGTCCCCCTCCTAAACTGTCAGTTTCATGAAAGCAGAGAACGCGTCTGCCTTGGTTACCATCATATCTCCAGGACCTGGCACTTTGACGCTTATAGTTGGCATTCCACAAAGAGTTGCTGAATGACAGAATGAAGGAGTAAGAATGCATCAATGGGCAAATGAATGGGTGATTTCATGTATGATCCCAGCGGCCACCCAGGCCAATTCAACAGCTGATGTTGGACACCTCTCTCTGATCACCCTCCAGGCCCTTCTATGACATCATCTCTTTGCTGGCCTCACTGACTCTCCACTGGAAGAAGCCAATGTTAGTGAAGGCTTTATGGAATAAATGGAAAGTAGAAATGGGTAGAGAAGTCCAGGAAGGCATTTCTGGCAATCTCTGAGTAGTTATTACCTTAATCCTTCTGCCAAGCAAGAGGAGGAAAACTGGCAGACACCCATGCTCAGTCAACAAGTCCACGTAAATGCCAACATGTGTAGGACCTCGGCTGCGTTCATAAGCTTTTCAAGTCCAAAGTCTTTTATAGGAACTAATGGGGTCAAATACAGTCCGTCAGGTCACTGCTTCTGAAACTATCTCTGGTAAAGGGCCAGGTTTTAATTTTGTTTTCAATCTGCCACAGATCAATATTTTATAAAATAACGGGAATTATATACTTGGATGAGGCTGCAATGTCAAATTGCTATAAAAGTTTTTAAACTTTTTTGCTGTAAAAATTTTTGAATGCTTACGTACTCATTTCTTCATGGGTAACAAATATTTCTAGACCTACATCCATCTGCAAATCACACTGTGAGTAGCACTGACCCAGGTCAGCACTTGTACTCCCACTGCCTCATTCCTCAACCATGGCAGAAATTGCGAATCAGTCATCACACATTTCCCCATGAAGCCCATGCTTGGTTTTAAAATCTTCCTTATCCCAGTGTTCAAGACAGCCACTACCCTTCATACCTGTTAGAATGTCTATTATCAAAAAGACCAGAAATAACAAGTTTTGGCAAGGGTATGGGGAAAAGGGAACCCTCATGCCCTGTTGTGGGAATGTGAACTGGTACAGCCAGTATGGAAAACAGTACGGATGTTCCTTTAAAAACCAAAACACGGGCTTCCCTGGTGGTGCAGTGGTTGAGGATCTGCCTGCCAATGCAGGGAACACGGGTTCGAGCCCTGGTCTGGGAAGATCCCACATGCCATGGAGCAACTGGGCCCGTGAGCCACAACTACCGAGCCTGCGCTCCGCAACAAGAGAGGCCACGACAGTGAGAGGCCCGCGCACGCGATGAAGAGTGGCCCCCACTCGCCGCAACTAGACAAAGCCCTCGCACAGAAACAAAGACCCAACACAGCCGAAAATAAATAAATAAATAAATAAAATTTTAAAAAAGAAAATAAACTTGTTAAAAAAAAAAAAACTAAACTAAAACACAACTACCGTATGATCCAGCAATTCCACTTCTGGTTATTTACCTGAAGAAAACAAAAACACTAACTCCAAAAGATACATGCACCCCATGTTCAATGCAGCATTATTTACAATAGCCAAGATATTGGAAACTACCCAAGTGTCCATCGCTGGATGAATGGATAAAGAAATTATGGTTTATATATCTACAATGGAATATTATTCAGCCATAAAATAGAATGAAACTTTGCCATATGTAACAACATAAATGGACCTCAAGGGCATTGGGCTAAATGAAGTAAGTCAGACTGAGAAAGACAAATTAGAGTATGATCTCCCTTATAGGTAGAGTCTTTTTTAAAAAAGAAAAAAGCTTATACATACAGAGAACAAATTGGTGGTTGCCAGAGGAGGGGGGGAGAAATGGGTGAAGGGAGTTAAAAGGTATTTAAAAGAAAGTAACCCTGTAACGTTTACCTGTCATCTTCCAATTCTTCCTTCCCCTACAACCCCAGTTCTGAGCAATCGCTAATCTGCTTTCTGTCTTCTGTCTTCCCTGTTCTGGACCTTTTATACATTTGGAAAAGAGAAAAAAGACAGTCACAACCATGTACACAATCAGGGATACCACGGGAAATTAAACTTGTTTACCATCCCTACTTTACATGTCCACAGGCTCACCATTTGTCATATTCACACCCAGGATAAGGAAATGTCTATATTTTTGTATCCAGCCTAATGAAAAGTTCATGAAGTATGACCATCTATCTCATCAACGGAGTCCCTCCTGATCATTCAGTCCATTAACAATCTTTTTGCAGCTTGAGAAGCCCTTAATTCACACATACCTACAAGAAGACATAGCAACCTATACCACAAACACAAACTTCTGCTATGTTCTCAGATGTAGACTATGTGGATTGCACCTGGGAACATGAAATCACTAGCCCTTCATTGCTTTGACTCTTTCTTCCCTCAAATTCTCCATCCCTACAGCTCACCTGCTTCTATTTCAATTTGTCACAGGGGCTCCTTCACAGTGGATTATTTTCACTTCTCATTACCCTCTTTAGCACAACATGAGGTTTTCATTCCTCCCACGTTCAATCTTTTCCCCAAGCAAGATTAAAACCCCTTGGCCCTTCTTGGGTCACCATCAGGCTGTAAGCCAACCTCCAGTCATGGTCACTGAGAGGCCAGAGAAGCAGCAGCCATGAGGCAGAGAGAATTGATCTGTTGTCTTCAGGCTTCAGATGTGAAACTCACTTGTGGAGAAAGGCAAGTTTCACTTTGAACCTTTTCTCTCAACCTCACCTCTAAAGTTCTCTTTGAAATGTTTTTGCAACTTCCTCTTGGTCCCTGTAAACCACAGAATCACAGACTGTTAGCCCTAGAATATGCCTTAAAGGGCATCTGGCTCATCCAAAGTCCTCTTCTGAGTAGTGGGGGGAACAGTGAGGTCAGTGTGGGGAGTCAGCAGACGTGAGCCCTGCTCACTAACCAGTGATGACCTTAGAAGAGGTGATACACGTCTCTGAGACTGTTTCCAAGGAAGGCAGATAAGATCCCTAAAATGCGGTGATTGTGACCCACTCACGGGGCCAGTTGAAAATAAAATGAGATGATGAGAACAAAAGTGCTTTGAGGGGCTTCCCTGGTGGAGCAGTGGTTGAGAGTCCGCCTGCCGATGCAGGGGACACGGGTTCGTGCCCCGGTCCGGGAAGATCCCACATGCCGCGGAGCGGCTGGGCCCGTGAGCCATGGCCGCTGAGCCTGCGCGTCCGGAGCCTGTGCTCCACAACGGGAGAGGCTGCAACAGTGAGAGGCCCGTGTACCGGAAAAAAAAAAAAAAAAAAAGTGCTTTGAAATGAAAGCACCATGTGAATGTTGGGATTTTAACAGTCCTCAGCATTGCAGTAAACTAGAGGCCAATATCAGAGTAGAAACAGTGGGAGGAGAAAGAGAGGGTGATCCAAGGTGCCTTTTGACAAAGACCTTTTTTGACAACTTGGGAGCTGAAATTAATTTAAGGAAAGGAATTGGGGTGTTTTGGACCATTTGTAGTCTGAGCAAGAAAGGAAAGTATTTAGTAACGATCTAGGATGGTGGTCATGACAGAAAAAAGTGGACAAATTCAAAAATATTTATGAGGTAAAATTATCAGGCTAAGTGTCCATCAGCAGATGAATGGATAAAGAAAATGTGAGGGATATATACATACAGTGGAATATTATTCATCCATTAAAAAGAAGGAAATTCTGCCATTTGTGACAACATGGATAGACCTTGAGGGTATTAGGCTAAGTGAAATAAGTCAGGCAGAGAAAGACAAAAGCTGTATGGTCTAATGTATATGTAGAATCTTTAAAAAAATGAAACCAAACTCATAGAAAAAGAGAACAGATGTGTGTTTACTAGAATCAGGGTTGGGGGGGGCAGGGTGCAGAGGAATTAGATGAAGGTGGTCAAAAGTACAAACTTCCAGTTATGAGATAAATAAGTTCTGGGGATGTCATGTACAACATGATGACTACAGCTAACACTTCTGTAGGACATCTTTGAAAAATGCTAAGGGAGCAAATCCTACAAATTCTCATCACAAGGAGAATAAATGTTTTTGTAACTATATGAGATGGATGTTAACTAAACTTATGGTATTTATATGTACGTCAAGTCATTACACTGTACCCCTTATATAGCAAGTCGTTATGCTATATGTCAATGATATCTCAATAAAACTGGGGAAAAAAATCATCAGGGCTAGGTGATGGATTGGATACGGGAAGAGAGAAGGAGGGGGTATGTTCAGGGTGACATTTCTGGCTTATTTCACTGGAGTTAAGAAACACCAGAAGAGATCCAAGTGGGCGGGGCACAGAAGGGAGATCACAGACTTGCTTTTGCACATGTTGAGTTTGACTCGCCCTTGGGGCACCCAAGCAGATATGCTAAATAGGCCATTGGAGCTGAGGGCTTCTGTGTAGCTCAAGATATAAAAGGTTGAGTATATCCATGTAGGTGGGAATTAAAGTAACTGGCTAGGATGAGATCACCTAGGGAGAGAACACAGGGTGGGAAAAGAAAGGGACCTAGGACAAGTCTATGGACAAGGGACCATAATATTTAATGACAGAGGAGGATGAAACTTAAGAGAAATTAAGGCAAGATCAAAGAGACAGAAGGAAAAGCAGAAGAGTGTTTTTAAGCAAGGGAAGAGCATCATTCAAGAAGAAAGAAATGGCCAGTAGCACCAAGCGCTGATAAGGGTCATTTAAGATGAAGACAGGTAGATATCCATCAGGGTATCCAAATATCCAGGTCACCGGTGTCCTTTCATGACAGCATCCCGTTCTGGGTCCTCTCCAAACACAGATTCTTTCCTGTGCCCTTGTCCCCATTACAGTCCAAGGTTCAAAATGGACCTCAACTCTCTAGAAAAACCAACCATTCATGAGATCCTGAACACTTAGGAATGTTTTCAACATGACAGTTTGAGGCTTCAGCTAAGCCTGTAACTTTCTGGAACCACCGCTCCACCCTACATACCGAGAAATCCTACCTCCTGAGATTGGTTTCCTCTAGATCACAGATGGCAAGTGTGAGGCACACCTATTCACACCCACCAAACCTGGGTCCATGTCAGACATCACTCATTGATCGGAAGTCCCCCCTGAAAACTGTGTGCCTCTGGGGGTCACTCTCCCTACATGCCATGTTCTAGGATGGCGGTACAGCTCTGAACCCTCGATCCCTTCCCAGGTCATCGTCCCCCATTCCCCATCCTCCCCTGAGGGAGGTAAGACGACTTCCACAGCACATCATGTGTCTCTGTCCCTAGCTGCACTCAGCCCTCAGCCAGACTGTTGCATCTGTTCCCCATATTGAGGGGATTCACAGTTATTTGCTTTGGAAATCAGAGCCTGGGGACTGTCAGCTTTATCTGGAAAGCAGGGCCTGCTCCATGGAGAAGGGAACGACTCGGCACACAGCAGAGCGTGTTTGTTTGTCTTGTCCTGTGGGACACCAACACCCACCGGGTCCTGTGCAGCACGGACGAGGCGCGTGCCTCCCCGCCAGCCTGATTTGGGAGGATAATAAGCTAAACAAAGGAGCAGATGATCATGGAGGCTTATTTGCAGTCTGTACAGTTTATATTTAGCCATCTCGTGACGGGTTGCTAGCTCTGTGTGGCAGTCGCCCTTGGGAAATTCAATCTGGGGGATGCAGAGGTGGGACAGATCTGGGAGAGAGGAAGGAGGGGTTTAAAATGCCACTTTCGGGCACAGGAAGGACGGGAAGGCCAAATTTGTCCAACAAGCAAGCAGCCAGGGACAGGATTTTGGACACTTATTGTAGAAACATGGAAGAGAATATAAAAATGTGTAAGAGGGGACACTCTTAACAATCTGTAAACTGCCAGGCATTGGAGGGTGAAGTCCCCTCTTCCTCCCTTCCTGGCCACCTTCAGTAATCCTGAGAGGGGCGGTGATTCAGAAAACCTGAATTCTAGCCCCGGTCAGCCACCAGCTGGAAGCCGCATCCCTGCTCTGGGAGATGAAAGGGCTAGAGAGGATGATCCCTAAGATGCGGTGATTCCCCGCCTCCACCCGGTGTCAAGATGAAGACAGGCGACCTAGGGGATGTGCAATGTGTGGGTTGGGTGGGGAGTTGCCAGTTAAAACCGTGGGGCAGGGGGATGCCCTGGTGGTGCAGCGGTTAGGACTCCACACTTCCACTGCAGCGGGCACAGGTTCATCCCTGGTCGGGGAACTAGGATCCTGTAAGCTGCAAGGCCTGGCCAAAAAAAGCCAAAAACAGTCATAACTGGAACATTCTGCGATCATTACAAATTGTGGTACTGATGTCACCCAACCAAAAAATAAACTTCCATTAAAATGTACGTCAACATTAAAATAATCTTTAGAGAAACACGAATCATGGTGCTGATCTATATTAATTGACAGCGAAGGTATCTATGACATCCTGCTCGGTGGGAAAGGCAGCAGCCACGCAAGGCAACCGCTTGCTGTCGATCAGGCATTGGTGGGCGGGGAGAGAGAGCCATCACCCAAAGCGGGAAGGAGAATCCGAGCGGAGCCTCCCCGAGCCCCTGCTGACCCCTCCCACTCTACATTTTGGGTCTAAGTCGTGAATCCCAGAAACTGGTGCTGCCAGAGAAAGGAGGTTTTCCTATAGGGTTTTTGTTGTTGGTTTTTGACTTGTTTGGGGTTTCTGTCTCCGTTATCGTCCACCATCTTCCCCCAGCCCAAAGCAGCAGTGGGCGGTGAGGACAGCACAGGTCCTCAGGGGCCAGTCTCAGGGAGCCCGTCTTAGAACAAGACTGTGGCTTTAGGCCGAAGCTCTACTTCTTGGTGGGGCCTCCCAGACATAGTCTTGTCTGGGCATGAATCTTCTCATTCTAGAGTGACAAGGCAGAAAAGGGCCTTAAAGATCATCTCTCAGTCCCAGAGCAGTCCTGTTTCCACGCTGTTCTCAAGCCGGCAGCCTCATGAGCTAGTTCAACGAGGCTCTGGATTCCGAGATAACGGAGGGTTTAATTTGAGTTTCAGGGAGATACTTGCTTCTCACAGATATTCACCCTGTCTCCCACATCAGAGCCAGATAGCTCGTCCCTATCAAAGGCAAAGAGGATTTGGTCATGGTGCGATTTGAAAGAACCGACAGTATCTCTCTCACCACTTGCCAGAACCCCGCCCATAGCTCTTCATTCCTTCGTGGTAAAGTGTATTCATCTGTAAAATGAAAGGAGGTGTGAGTCAGGAAAACAGAACTCCCTCAGTGGAAAGAACCCCCCAAATTAGAAATTACACAAGGAGTCATCTGAGGGGGCAGTTCTCCACTCTTAACTGTCTTCACCACTTGGATTCTTTGAATCAGAAGAGACTTTTCACATCGTATCATCCTTTTATAAAGGAGCAATTTAGGCCCAGAGAGGTTATGTTCTTAAGCAAGGTCACACAGAACACTGCGAACCAGGACTGGGGCCCCCTGGCCCCTCTGCACATTTTGAAGGGCTCTTTCAAGCTTAAATTCTAATCCAAGACTCCATTCCTTTGTTTTATAGACAAAAAGAACCACCCCCACCAGAGGCTCCTTGTTAAAATTTCTCTGCTGGCACTAGTATCTGTAGCAATCAACAGTGTGCAGGAGGGAATCATCATTGTAAGCACACTTGGTGTATCGGAATCGAGACACGTAAAGCTTGGGCTTCGGAGCTTGACGGGGCCTACATCAGCGCAAACCCTGTCGGACTGTCTGCGTGTTACCTGCGGGCTTCATTTGCTTTTTTCCCGGAACTTAGTCCTTTGCTTTGGCGCTCCTGCCCCCTAGTGGCAGCAAGCTTCACTGCCGCCACATTCTTCTACAGACAAATGAAAGGGAAATCGGGGCGGGGTGGTGGGGGGAGAGGAGGCACTTTTGAGGATGGATAGAAGCAATCCGCACCCTTCTCTAAAAGAGCAGGCTTGGTTACGATGGCGGAATTTTTTAACCTCACACACAAAAGCGTGACTAACTAGACGTTAGCCCGCAGCGTACCTGAACCTGCGGAGCCGTGAGGCCAGAGCACCAAGGATCCTAGATTGAAAATAGTTTACATAACTGACTCAAGGACTCCTGGGCTCTGAGAATCTGACGGCAGGAATAAAAGGACCTAAACTAGCAAGCAAAAGAGAGGAACACTGACATATGGTACCCAACAAACACTGGCATGAATGAATTCAAAGCCCTGCCCCCCTAACTGCCCAGGCTCTGTCCAGTATTCAAAATACTGGTCCCCACGCTGCTTAGCTAATACCTGTTCCTTCTGCCCATCTCTGCTCAGCGCTTCCCCTGCCTCAGCGGAGGAGATGGGTCCTCTTCATATGCTGTCATGGCACTGGGTACTTTTCCTTCATAAGACTTTTCACAGTCCCTAAGTCTGTGTTTCTCTGGTTATTTTCACGCCCACCCTGAAGTGTAAGTTCCCTGAGGACAGGCACTGAGGCTACCTTGTTGACTACTGAATCTGTGTCTCTAAACTAGTGATTAGCACATAGGAGGCCCTCAATTAATGCTTTTCCGTGGAATTAATGAAATCACAAGTGTTGGTTTACTGACTGAATTATATCTGTTTACAGAGTTAAAAAGCAGATCTCAGTGGAGAAAGCAGGTGAGCTACGTCTTGGGGTTTCACAGCTATGCGGCACTGGTCATGTGTTTAGTGCTTTTCTTGACATGTCTTGAGATCCCTCCTAACCTATAAAAGGCACAAAAATCTTCTGAGGATGGAGACCTTCCTTGAATATGACCGCAAATGCTCACCATCACCCTTGGGGCAGGTAGCTGGGCAGGTGTCTTTACCGTAATTATACTTGTTAACATTCTGCCCCCACCAGCTCAGCTTTCGTTCCCGCCATGGTGGGGAAATCAGCCTGAGAACTGAAGGACAGCAGACTGAGAGGCTACACAGACATCAGGACACCTGACCTTCGGGGCTGTCTCTCTGTAACCTTGGGTGGTGCCTCCCTGCCCCGGCTGTCTGTTGTCTCATTTCTAAACTCTTGGGGTATGTAACATCAAAGCCACTGTTTTTCAGGTGTCAGAAAACCCAACCTAAACTGCCTTAAGGGGAGTAAAAGGGGGATACGTATTACTCATGAAACTGAAAAGCCATGGATTGAGGACTTAGTCCAGGATGTCAAGCAACTTCCTCTGAGCCTGGTCTCTCTCCTCCATCCTTCAGCTCTGCTTCCCTCTCTGTTGGTCCCCTTGCAGGAATGTTCCTTGTATATGGGGGTCTCCAGCAGCTCCAGGCTTTCATCCCCACAGCAGAAAAATAGAGGGGCTTTCTCTTAGCCGTAGCACACAAAAGGCCCTGGACTGCCCTCACAGGTGCCTTTGGGCCACATGCTCACCTATGAGCCAGTAGCTGTGGTCAAGGGAAGTTCTGGGCTCCACCTGAATCACGTGGACTGACACGGCCAGAGACCAGGCACCCCGGGGGGTGATCAAGGAAGTAGTCTCGGAATGTGGGAGAACAGTTGCTAGACGTGCAGCAACAGAAATGGCACTGCAGAGTTAAGTGATTTTTAAGGACCCTTCCAGCTTTCAATACCCTGATGTGACTCTGATTGGATGTCAGGGAAATGGAAGGGAGAATAAAGCCATGGAAATGCTCTAGCATTAGCCTAACCCCAAACCCTTTCAAAAAGCCAAAATGCCAAATAAGACCCCCTCACCCAGAGACTTCCCTGGCGGTCCAGTGGTAAAGAATCCGCCTTCCTATGCAGGGGACACCCGTTCGATCCCTGGTCAGGGAACTAAGATCCCATATGCCGTGGGGCAACCAAGCCCACACGCCACAACTACTGAGCTCGTGTGACTCAACTAGAGAGCCCGCGTGCCACAAACTACAGAGCCCATGCGCTCTGGAACCCACGCCACAACTAGAGAAGAGAAAACCCATATGCCACAACTAGAGAGAAGCCCGTGCACTGCAATGAAAGATCCCACACGCCGCAATGAAAACCTGACACAGCAAAATAAATTAAAAAAAAAAAAAAGGGTTTCCCTGGTGGCGCAGTGGTTGAGAGTCTGCCTGCCGATGCAGGGGACATGGGTTCGTGTCCCGGTCCGGGAAGATCCCACATGCTGCGGAGCGGCTGGGCCCGTGAGCCATGGTCGCTGAACCTGCGCGTCCGGAGCCTGTGCTCCGCAATGCGAGAGGCCACAACAGTGAGAGGCCTGCGTAGCGCAAAAAAAAAAAAAAAAAAAGACCCCTCACCCATTCTGAAGGGAGCCCTTAGAAAGCAAGCAGTGGTGGTGACCCTCCTGAAGCCAAGGGGCAGAAAATGAATAGCATTTTGATAACGACACGAAAATGGAACATTTCTATTTCCCAAAAAGATAGACACTGTCAGTGAGATTCATAAAATAAATAAATAAATTAAAAATCTTATTAAACTTTCCCTTTCACTGCTTCTTTGTATCTCTGGTTGAGGTGGTGCAGGATGAAGGTTGCCATGGTGATGGCTGAATTTTTTTTTTTTTTAAATAACAGGGCTCAGGAGCTCTGGCTGCTGGCCATACCGCCTCAGGCAGGAAAGGGTGGGGGGAAGGAGAGAAGCAAAGTGAGAAAAGGAAGAAAGCTGCTGGGCTCATCCCAGGACTCGGTAACTTCTCCAACTTGTTCTCCTTGTACCAAGGATAAGGCCCCAAAACTGCAGACTCTGGCTCCTTCAGAGAATAAGAGAATGTGGAGCCCAAATGCATGACGAGGACAGGACCTTAGAAGTCACTTTGCCCATCCCCTACCTGATTGTCGCTTGTGACAGATGGATTTCTCCTACATTTACACTCCTTCCGGTGAACAATGGGCCCACCCAGCCCATCCAAGTTTTAGATGAGCCGCTGGAAACTTGACCCTAAGAGAAATGTTCAAAGACATCCTGAGATTAAGAACCCATAGGACTTTTAAGTGAAAGAGGAATTTGAGGTTAGAAGCCCAGTATCTGTCAAAACAAACAGTCCTGGCCACAAATTCTAGTTCTGCTCTTCTCTCTAGCACCATCTAAGAATGAGATGGGAGATTCCAGAAGTGGTGGACTGTATCCCCGTGAGTGGATATACTCAAGCCTGCATAGGCCAGCAAGGAGCTGACTGATAAGCAGCATGTTTTTAAATAGTTCCAGTCATCAGAGAGGCAGGACCCTGCTGAGGGAGGCTCAGAGAAGCAACACACCAAGGCCTTCACGCAGAACCTTTTAAACTCCAGACCAGGGAAAGGGGAAGCCAGGAACTAAGCCTGGAGAGAACCAGTAACCAGGAAGCACAGAAATCTGCTCTGACACCAGAATGCCTGTCAGGGGATTTGACAGGGGATGGTCTCGGCCCAGCTGACCCCGGAAAGGACCAGCATTCTCAGCTGGCCCCATCCCTTGTCTCCTGACCAAAATGGCAGGCAACTACGGCCATGCTGTGTTTGTCAGAGCATGGCTTCTAGAAGTTAAATAATAATAGTAATAATAATAATAAATACTAAGATTGTTCCTCTAAGCCGGGAAAGTGGCAGGATTACTAAAGCTGAGTGAGTCTGACGTTTCCCCCGGGAGCTGGCTGAGCAGAGACCCCAGGAGGAAGGGGAAGAGCCAAGGAGTGCAGGCCCCTGGGGCTGTGACCTGCGCCTCCATGACCTGCACCCCCACCCCTGTGCTGTGCCTCAGGTGCGATGATCCAGCAGCTTGGGGTCTAGGGGTCCCCATCAGCTTTCCCCAGGCAGATTGGGAGGAGCAGGGGGAATGAAAGCACCTTAAGAAAGAGATGAAAGCCAGACTCAGAGCAAGGGAGAAGTGGGCCAGCGTTCACACCCCCAGGCCACCCGCCTGTGTCTTCTGGAACAGGGTGGAGAACTCAAAGGCCCCCAGCCCTGAGGGAGGCTGAAGGAGGCCACCCAGCACTGGCCCTGGCCTATCTCTGGTGCTGCCCAGACCTACTGGCCTCTCTTTCCAAGGGCAAGGTTAGATCCCAAACCCCACTCTGCCCTCATAAACCCTCCTCACAACACACACACACACACACACACACGCACACACACACACACACTCGCACGCGCACATACACACACGTGCATGCCTGGAGTCGGAGACCAAAACAGCAACAGGCCTTAGAAATAGTACCCAGGGATCCATACACCCCAGGCTTGTCCAGGCATGAACCAGCTCCTGGAGGATGCACAGAGTCCATCCACAGAAAG